TCTGTTGCCCAGGCTAGAGTACAGTGGCATGATCTCGGCTCACCACAACCACTGCCTCCTGATTCAAGCGATTCTCCTGCCTCAGCCTCCCAGGTAGCTGGGATTATAGATGCGTGCCAGCCATCATGCCTAGCTAATTTTTGTATTTTCAGTAGAGATGGGGTTTCACTGTGTTGGCCAGGCTGGTCTTGAACTCCTGACCTCATGATCTGCCCTCCTCGGCCTCCCAAAGTGCTGGGATTACAGGCATGAGCCACCACACCCGACCTGGAGCTTGGATTTCAACCCAAGTATGTTTGATCTCTTCCCACTAAGCTATCATAGCTCTACGCTCCAGGAGCTCCTGTTTCTAACCTGAGTTGTTTTCTCTATTTCCTAGGACACAGCGACAGTTTCAGAGACTGGAGTTCTTTGAAACAGACATAAGAGAGCGAGCCACCTCTCTATTTTCAGGAAAGATACAGAGAACCTATGGTTATGAACTAAATCAAAGATAATGTAGATGAATACATCTAGAGACATTGTTCATTTATAGTCAGGAATAGCTTTTCCCTTGAAAGAGAACTCTGTGCCAGCTACTGGGTGCTGATCATTTTTATTTACATTATGTCATGTATTCCCCACCACAACTACGATATAAATCTTTTTTCTTTTCTTTTTTTTTTTTTCCAAAACGGAGTCTTGCTCTGTCACCCGGGCTAGAGTGCAGTGACACTATATCAGCTCACTGCAACCTCCAACTCCTGGATTCAAGCAATTCTCCTGCCTCAGCCTCCTCAGTAGCATGGATTACAGGCACCCACCACCACGCCTCGCTAATTTTTGTATTTTTAGTAGAGACGGGGTTTCACCATGTTGGCCAGGCTGGTCTGGAACTCCTGACCTCGTGATCTGCCCGCCTCCACCTCCCAAAGTGCTGGGCTTATAGGCGTGAGCCACCGCGCCCAGCCTATGATAGAAATCTTATTAGCTCCATGGTTACAAGCAGACAGCCCTGAGGCCGGGAGGAAAGTAACTTCCCCACAACTTTTTATTTCTTGCACTCTTGGCAATTGTCCCTAGTTGTCTTTTTGTTGATCTCTCTTTAAGACTGTATGCTCCTGGAGGCCAAGGGTGGTGGTGTCTGGCTCAGCATAGCACCTGCCATAATTACAAATGGCAATTATGGAATAAATCAGCTGTTCAAAGCACCAAATCTTGAGCTGGCCCGAAGACTGCGCAGGCAGATTGCGTGCTCAACTCTCCCCTTTTGAAACTGTTAACAATCGTCGTAACTGGAAATGTAACTGTTATACCGCCCCCTTTTATTTATTTATTTATTTATTTTTGAGACGGAGTTTTCGCGCTGTTGCCCAAGCTGGAGTGAGGTGGCGCCCGGCCCTGTTAGCCGGTTATAGAGTAGATCAGCTGCCGCAGGAATTTGGATTCCCCAAACGAACGCCCGAACCCGGCATTGCGCAAATCGTTTCCAAGTAGCCCCGGCTTATTTATCCCTTCTGGGAGGGAGGAACCCAGGGAGGGCCCAGCCCGCTTGGTTCCCCAGAAATGCACAACCCGGCGTCCACTCCGTGTCTGGGGGGGCTCCCTCCACCGCCAGCCCAGGAAGACAGTGCCGGGCCCTCGGGACGGAGCAGGCAGGATAGAGCGGTTAGCCCGGACGCTCTTCCGGGTTCTGGGAGGAGGGCCCATACCTAAGCCCCGCCCCTCCGGGGCGGAGTCACGGCTCGCGACTGGCCTAAATCGCCGCAGGTAATGCGGTCCCGGGCTGGAGGGTTGGGGGCTAGGGTCCCCGGATACCGGGTCTGTTACAGTCTCGGGCAGGGGGTCCGAATCCTTTAGGGGAGTGGGGCCAAGCCGGGTGGAAAGAACTGAGAAGGCCTTCCCTGGCTCCGTCCTGGCCACTTTGACCGAACCAGCCTGTTCTCTCCCGACCCCGTCTCCTATCCCCTAGAACTGCCACGTGGGGATGAGATTTACCGGGCAGGTAGCGGCGGCGGCTGCGGGAGGTCCCGCCCACGTGAAGCCAACCTAACTGAGCTCTGGACTTTGGGGACAGTTGTCAGCGGCCTAGGCCGCAGGTGGGATTTATCCATTCATCTCTCAATCTATTTAATTTCTTCATTCACTAGCCACTCCCCCACTTCTACTCTATGCCAGGTCCATTGGTAGGTTCTCGAAATGGATCTGACAGGCCCAGCCCTCTAGGAACTTAGTCTAGTGGAGTTTAATCTAGAATCTAGTCTAGAAGCTTTAAATAGATAAACAATACAAATGATTCCTGCAGTGGTGGTGGCTTAATACCTTAAGAGCCCAGTGGGTAGAAGAAGGAAGTAACGTGGAAGGGGGTGAAAGAGAAAAGGGCAAATCAGGGAAGGTTTCACCAGGGAAGGGACTTTTGAACTGGGCTTTGAAGGTTAACTAGGAGTTTGCCAATTTCCCAGAAGGGAAGCGACATTGCAAATAGGGGAAGCAGAATAGGCTACAAAATTATGAAAAGGCCTGCCATTTTATAAGAGCTGCAAAAAAAACAATAATGCAAGAGATTATGGAGGTGAGTTCACGGAAAAAAGCTTGACAGCAGAAGGCCTTACTTTCTATGCTATACTGAGGCCAAGATTTATCCTAGAGCTCAGCATTTCTCAGCCTCTTTAAATATTTTGTCCTTTGGGCGGGGAACAGTGACTCATACCTGTAATCCCAGCTCTTTAGGAGACTAGGAGTTCGAGACCAGCCTGGACAACATAGGGAAACCCCATTTCTTTTTTTTCTTTTCTTTTCTTTTTTTTTTTTTTTTTTT